GACAAAATTCCGTAGAAAACTAACTCGCTTTAAAAATCGCTAACCAGATACGTGGATCTGCTAAATATAGATTTGTTTTTCTTTCGTGAAATATGTAAGATTTCGCAAACTAAATGTGTAAAGTATTTATTTATTGAAGTGTGCAGGAAAAAATTACTTAACTCACCTTACCGAAAATGATTGATAGACTGATGATTCTTAATAAATAATTTATTATATGAGAAATAGTTGAAGGTGACAAATTTCCCATTTATGCTTCAGTTTGATGAATCAGTATTATTGCACGTTATTTACATATGAAGTAGATTCAGGAGAAGAAACATTTTGTTTATATGATAAGGTTACTCGTCATATAACAGAAATGCAGCTTTGAATCATATTCTTACAGACTAAATCCTTCAAATTTATTCATTAAGTGTAAGTAATGTCAATCATTAGAACTGACAATTTAAGATAAACTATTCATGAATAAACTGGTAAGATGAACTCTTCTGAAAAGTAGTTTATATGTAATGGATTCAAGGTTTCAAGTTATACATTAGCTGATTTATGCATATGAAAGGTAGAAAATTAATAGAAGGATAACCATCACCATATAGTAGAACCATTAGAAATGTACTGCTGTCGCATATTTATTAATATGCTAAGTTTTTCATTCTAAACGCAATTTAAATTAAGTTCTTTGAACTAAACTATGAGATGTCTAGATTTTTCCTGTTTATACTAATTAACTTATAGTAACAAGTGTGCTATTCTGCCCAGTGATTTACTGTACTATGGTATGTGCTACTGATGTTTACACATATAAGTAGTATTTATCATCAATAGAAAGTGAAATGTGTGGTGGCAAAAAGTTAAGGAGATCAAAGAAAAGAGAACGAGAACAAAGAATGTTTGGCGTGAAAACGAAAGAACAATGAAGTTTGAGACGATTGATTAACATTTTGCAAATGAATTATTTACAATATGGTCCTCAGATTTTACTAAGCAGTTCTGTAATTTTATGTTCAAATACGTTCAATTGTCCTCACTTGTGTTCTTGTTCACTACAGTACCTTGAGTTTCAGGACTTCAGAATTATTTACCTAATATCTTGTCACAAATCGTAATATGATTATTTGAAAACTGTTAGGTTCATATTACTTATTAGTAAATTGATATCTATACAACTACATACTCAAACATTATGGATTCTGTGGAAATTAGTCTGTAATTGAACTGACCGTTGTTATAAACTAACGTATATATATATAATTGTTACATAATTGAAAGTTTGAAAAAGAACCGTCCCTTCAATCATTTAGAACTACGTCTGTGGAACGTTTTTTCAAAGAGGTTTGAATACATACTATAAATTTATTTAATCTATTTGTTGCACTGAAAACAATCTTTCACCAGTATCAACTTGATTAATAATAATGGAAGAAAATGAGGGATTATTCATCTTAAAAACGTCAATTATTCTTCCCTATATAAGTTCATATATATATAACTGTGAATATTGTCTTTTAATTTATACCTATTAGCGCTTACTTTTTCTTAATACAAATTTTCATGTTTTATATTTCATAATATAAACAAAACAACTTGGTGAATATTACCTCTCTTTTAAGAATATAGCTATTCATGGGATGATACAAGTCAAAATCAGGACTCAGTAGGTAAGTAAATAACGTGATGACTTTTGAAGCGGATGGTACTTGGTTCGAATCCCGAAGCGAACACCAATTATGGGGTACGGGTACATTCAACTGACGAGTCTCAAATAGGAAGAAACACGTGTCCTGGATACCATTGCTAGCCAACATTTATTTGCATAAAAGTTGGTTATATAATTTGGAAAAATAGATATTATTCTGAGAAATTATTACTTTAAATGAATTTCATTCATAACATGATATGTATACAGTATAAAGTTCAAACAAATTTTAGGCCACAAATATAAGGTCTCAATAACAACACTGAAAACTATTTGAACGAATTCCTTTATCATTTGCTTCTTTCAGTTAATGTATATACTAGATGTGAACCAGTGTTGATAAATAGTATACATAATACAGATCATAGACTGTGTCATGTTATTGAATATTTCGAAAAAGAGGAAAAGTGATAAGTAATTTGATGATAGATTGCATTACAAATAAATAATTTAGTTGTCACGTTTAGCCATGTTTATCAAAATAGTTTTCTATGTTTTAATGAAAACTTTGTTAATGGATAAAGGGATACATGTATAATACTGTCATGTAGATCACCAAGCCGACAAATCGCTGAATACGATGTAGACCATGAAATTTCATCATATACCCACAACAGACATAAACTGTTTATTCTGTCTTAAACGTTTACAAATGTACATTTTAACTTTAAACTGTCTAAACAAATATGCAATAGTTTTAAAAGTTGAGTTCATGAATCATTTGAAGCTAGATCACCATGAAAAACCTGGAATTACTGGCTCGACAACTCGTCCTCTTGTGGGACTCCTGAGCAATGAGCAACCACGATCCCACCAACACGACTCGAACACAAGACCTATCGGTCTCGTGCGCGAATGCTTAGCCTCTAGACCACTGAGTTAATTGGCATCCAACAGTGTTAATGTTTAACTTCAACCAATCCACGAAATCGAGCCACCGTCGACTATTGGCTTCATTGAGTTACTATGTACAATATTGAAATAGAAATTAAAGTTTATCTATCCACTTCAAAATACTTAAATACAGAGAATTTTTGTGCATTGATTTCAAGATTAATAATTTGTTAAACACATAACAAAATATCCGGGCGTTCTTAACTGATCATCACATAATGCAACTGACAGATCATCTCATGTAGAGCACATATACGATAGTCAATATCAGTAGAACTTTTGTCTGCATCATTTAGAATACTCAATGTTTTGTTTGAATGTACACATAATAAGTAACAATGTTTTTTTTGTATTTGCTAAGTTATTAAGTAGTTAGTATCCAAGTGTACTAAAGTTTAGGAAGCTAAATGTAACGTTATGATCAGTTTCATGATTTAAAAGAATGAGCTATTTGTAGTTGATAGATTAAATATTTTGCAAGAGGATTATGTAAATTGAATGGTTTATCTCTAAAATACTTAATTATTGAAAATCAATGACCGGAAGCTGATACCATCTTGCCATATTAACTAAAGAGGTCTTTATCAATGAAAATTTCCCTCCCAAAAAAAGAAACGGTGGAAATAAATCAAAGAAAATTAAATTAGATGCTAATTTCCTTAGATGTTTACACTGTGATTGAAGTAAACAATCTAGAGAAAAAAATGGTTTTAAAATATATGGAGATAGTTTTAATCAAAACAGATGAATTATTGTTATCAAATTAGTCAAAGTCTCATGCTTTATCCTTCATGAAACTGTTCAGCTGAATGTTCTCAATGAAACGAAATGATATAGATTTAACTAAGAACAATTATCCATTGAATTATATAAAAGGCTTATAACAAAATGGTCATTTGAAAGCCATTTTAACATGATGCACATAAGTCATTAAAACTAGGTCGGAATTTTGATCATCAGTATTAACAAATAGGGTAATTTAAACCATTTCTAATAAAGCAAAAATAGATAGTGGCTAGCAGTGGAATCCAGGACGCGCGTTTCGTCCTGTTTGAGACTCGTCAGCTGGATGTACCTGCATCTCAGGGTTGATGTTCACTCTGAGACTCGAACTCAGTACCGTTCGCTACAAACGCCATCGCGTTATCCACTTAGCTACTGAGTCTTGATAGCCACTTTCTTGTGCAATGGGGTGAATTTTAATTTAAGACAATACCAAGCATTTCTAATAAAGATATATACATGGATATAGATTTCATTAAGTTCTTTATTTATTATAAATTAAAGTATGTACATCCATTTCCAATGCTTCATGATAATTTCTTGTGAAAAATACAATGACGTTTACTCATTAGATCTGTAATTTGTAATGTTAATAATCGATTAACAAGTTGATATTACTACTGAGATTATTTCAGTAGTCACTAACCATTAGAAAACTATTCGACAATTTAATAATTTATAATTATTGCTTATCATAATTCTAATATCACCTTGAATTTTGAAATGATTCATATTAAGTTTGTGAATCATTAAGAACAAAAACAACATGTTATGTAATAACATCTAGCTAACGAGTAAGAAACTGAATGAATTAAGTGCTCTATAAACTTTAGTAGTAAACACAGTTGTCTACGCAAAATACTTCGGATTCGTTGGCCGGACACTATTAGCAACAACGTACTGTGGGAGAGAATAAACCAGATTCCAGCGGAGGAATAAATTAGGAAGAAGTGCTGGAAGTGGATAGGATACACATTGAGGAAAGCACCCAACTGCGTCACAAGGCAAACCCACACATGGAATCCTGAAGGCCAAAGGAAAAGAGAAAGAACAAAGAACACATTATGACGGGTAATGTAGATAGACATTAGAAAAATGAATAAGAATCGGATGGAACTAGAAATGAAGGTCCAGGACAGAGTGGGTTGGAGAATGCTGGTTGGCGACCTATGCTCTATTAGGAGTAATAGGTGTAAGTAATTAGGTAAGTAAACACTATTTAAGTTGTATATAAAGAGACTTTTGTTCAAAAATGAGATTGGTCTAAGTTAGGTTCAGTGTTCTAGAGGTTAAGTGTTTTGCACACAAGACTGATACATTCTGGATTCGAATCTCATGAGAGAAGATTGTGCATACGTATTGTTGAAGAGTCTCATGCTTCCATGATGATGGTCTATCTTTAATTGACTCATGAATTCAACTATTCAAAAACAAATATATCCACCTATAAAACTGGATAAATCTATTTTAAATATCATAAATGAACTTCAATTTATAAAAGTGACATCTATAGTTTGTTTTGTAAACTACTATTGTGATTGGTACATCTTTTAAATTTTCCATATATATTTAATATACATTGAGAACTATATTGTTTGAGTATTATTATTATTATTATTGATGAGGATGATGAACTTTAACCAATAAGAAAATAATGAAATAGGATATGAATTAGGATAAATAGAGTGAATTCCTTTGAATGAATTCATAGAATAACTAAACTTGATTTAGTAAACACTTTGTAATAAGTGAGTTGGATACATGATTAAATTTATTATTTAAATGATACTGATTTATTATCTTAGTGATTAAAATATTTTGATCAATGTTTTATATAAAGTCTAGTAAGTAGATATAGAGTAGAAGTATTCTTAGTGAGAATTATCTTATAGAAAGTTGTATATTTCTATTGGTTTGATGGGTAATATTATTGAGTTTAGATTTATGTTTGATGAATGTCAGTTTCATTGTGAATAAGAATATTTATTATCATTTATAGAAATTGTAAGTGGTAAAACAAAACAAGAGGTTCAGAATGGAACTACTAGGTATTACTCATAGGACAGGAGAGTCGTGTTAAAAAAATTGTCTGATCATATTCAACATTGGTATGATGATACATTAACTTGGTTTAAACTAATGATCTACTCAAAAACAAAAATACTGGTTATCATTTGTCAACTGAAAGAATAATAATGAAACAGAACTATTACAGATTGATCGAATATACCATTAGAGAATCGGGCATATGTATACCAAACTCCATATACTAAGACCGATATCAAGTTATGGTGTGATAATTCAAAAAGCAAGGAAAAAAATTCAGATGTCAAAGAAAAATAGAACACTTGATGGCCATAGCCTTTTTAAGTTTAAGTTAAATTTTTTAACTAACATTAATTCTCTTACTAAGATTTAATTGTACTTACATGTTTTGGAATGACTGTTGACAATATTCTATCGATAAGTAGTCTACCGGGAAAACGGTGTTTGAACGTTAGGCCATCTTTAGTGAATTTCTTTCAGTGAGTAAAATATTCTTTCAATTATAAGTAAGTAACCGGAAGTTGGACTTCTCAGATGACCTGACCCTTCTATTCCGTACATACGAATATATGCAGATGGAGGCAACTGATGTAGCACCAGCCTCTGCATCAGTAGGCATCAACATAAATAAAGGTAAAAGCAAGATCTTCAAATACAACATGGTGATCACCAACACAATCACACTTAATGGAGAAGCTCTGGATGATGTGGAATCCTTCTTGTACCTGTACAGCATCATCCATAAACAAGGAGGTTCTGACGAAATCTGAAGGAATGCAAAGATTGGCAAAGCAGTGGACACATTCCTGCAGTTATAGAATATATGTAACTCAAAACAACTGTTAACTAACATCAAAGTCATAATCTTCAATACGAATGTCGAGACAATTTCACTTTACGAATCTGAAACTTGGAAAACCACCACAACCATCATCAAAAGTATAAAAATATTTATAAACAGTTGTCTACTCAAGATATTCAACATTCATTGGCCCGATACCATCAGCAATAGCCTGCTGTGAAAGAGAACAAACCAGCTTCCAGCTGAAGAGGAAATTAGGAAAATACCTTGGAAGTGGATTGGACATAAATTACGAAAATCATCAAACTGCATCACGAGACAAGCTCGAAGTTATAATCCTGAAGGGAAACGGGAAAGAGGAAGGCCGAATAACACATTACGTCAGGAATTGGAAGCAGACATGAAAAGGATGAATAGCAACTAAAAAAAAAACTGAAAAGGATTGCTCAGTACAGTGTTGGATTAAAAGTGCTGGTGAACGGCTCATTAGTGGTAACAGATGTAAGTAGGTAAGTAAGTAAGTAAATAAATAACCGGAAGTTGTTGATGTTAAAATTTGTTTACTACTACATTCAAATCTTTATTAATTTACAGCTTCAAATATGCATATAAATGTAGAACGATAGAAAGGTCAACCTTTGAACATTTAATAATTTCACTAATCGTATAATTCATAAATAGGTCAAATACAAAACTTGGTAAGATGGATTAAAAAGAGAGAAAAATGAAGAAGAAGAAGAAGAAGAAGAATGATTAATGATAATCATAACCATAAATAATCCGAAATAGTTTAGTTTAATATAAAAATATTTCAATAGTGTTTCACAATGTTAACCTTTTCAACAAAATAACAATAATCTCAGTATATTACTTACTATTTTTATTTTATTCGTTTGTATCAATGGACATTTCATTCTATGAATGAAGAAATTATTGTTTATTTTTCAAAACAAATTCTTTTATTTGTGTTATTTGATTGATTGAATATTGATAGGATATCGATTTATTTTCATTGACTTATTACTTATTTTGATAATTGGTAATAGTTAGTTGCATTCATAACTTATGAATATCAGTATAGGGGTTGTGGAGATTATTAAATTTTTGATTGAGATCATGAATTGATTGATGTCAGATCACCATTGAAAACAACCGTCCAGTGCTTTCAGGTTTTTAATGTTGGTCAAACATCAATTAGTTCATGATCTCAATCAAAAACTTATGAAGATTTGTGTTCTCAGAAGAGGGGGATTTTCATGGAGATTATAGTAATTTTAGCAGTTGAGTAAAGATAAATTCATCATGAAAAATCTGGAAGCATTGAACGCTTGTTGTGTCTCAGTATGGGACTCTTCAACAGTGCATATCTACGATCTCGCCTCGAGGGATTCAAATCCAGGATTTGCGATATCACGTATCAGAACTTCTTATAAAATTCATATTTCACTATTCATTATTAAACTGTTGTTTACTTTTTTTCATTAAAAATTTAAGTAACTATTCAAATTATTCAATTAATGTATATCGTTGATATCAAAATGTAACCGGTTGTTCTATTGTAAATCAATTTTTTTAATGATCCATGTAACCAAGTGTACAAAATACTTACTTAATCACTTACTTACGCCTGTTACTCCTTGTGTAGGAGTATAGGTCGCTCATCAGCATTCTCCATCCAACGCTGTCCTGGGCAAATCTTTCTAGCCTCTTCCAGTTGTTATTCATTCTTTTCATATCTGCTTCTATTTCCCGACGTAATGTGTTCTTTGGCCTTCCTCTTTTCCGCTTCCCTTCAGGATTCCAAGTTAGGGCTTGCCCCGTGATGCAGTTTGATGATTTGCGCAATGTATATCCTATCCATTTCCATCGTCTTTTCCTAATTTCTTCTTCAATCGGAAGCTGATTTGTTCTCTCCCACAAAACGTTGTTGCTGATGGCATCCGTCCAATGAATGTTGAATATCTTGCGTAGACAACTATTTATAAATACTTGTACATGTTTGATGATATTTGTAGTAGTTCTAAAAGTTTCAGCTCCATACAGTAGAACTGCGTTAACGTTCGTATTGAAGATTGTGACTTTGATATTAATTGAAAGTTGTTTTGAGTTCCATATGTTCTTCAATTGTATGAATGCAGCCGTTGCTTTGCCGAAAATGTGTAATTATAATTTAGAAGAGTAGGTTAATTAATTTACTGAGGTAAATTTGTAACTGTGAAGAGAAGTTTTGATAAATGCTTACTCTAGAATAACATATATAAGCGAACAATATTGTTTTCGATTAGATCCTCATCAGGCTTTACTCTAATATACAGTAATATTTATATGCATATATGAAATTATTAAACCAATCAAGGTAATTTCTGATCAACTTGTAAAATATTCATGATCTGTTGTTTTGAACATTGATGGAAAAATTATTTTTACTTAGAAGAGTTTAGATAGCTGATTGATAAGTGATGAAATTATGCTATTACTGTGTGTATTAAAACATTTAACTGTGAAGTTTTCAATATATTATCTAGTTATAATTCAATTGACTGTTCAACACTGTTAACTAGTAGCATAGTTTGTTTACTTGATATATGAAAATATCTACTCTGTGAATCAATACAAATCAATCTAAACGTATTTCAATAACGTTTACCGCCAATGGAATAAGGAAAATCGTTTATTTTGTACATCCTATAAGGTTTATACATAACCAATATGGCTTCATATCAGTATTATATTATTATTATTAGCTTTATTCAATATTCAATTTTTGGTACAATATAGAATTCTTAGCACAAAGTATTTCAATAAGTTTTCTTTTTCTTATTTCTTGATCGACTCTGACGATCAACATTGATTGTCAGTTAGATGTTAATAGTTCAGGCATCGACATCTGAATAATCTCCATTCTTTTCAATGCATATTGCCAGCCGTCATGATGTCTCGGATTGTACATTTTTTTGTAATTTGTACAACGAAAGATCGTAAACTTTTCACAAACTCACCTGAATAAGTTATACAAATAATTGACGTAATTATTTGCTAAAACAAACAGGGAAACAGAGTACGTGTTGAAATGTCTAGAGTACAGAAATAGGTAGCCCAGATTTTCAAGCAGGTCATCATTGATATTACAAGTTGTGATCAAACAACTGTTGGCTAATCACCTTATGAATTTGTGTATAAGTGTAATGAATTTGATTAAGATGATTATAATAAAGTGTTGAGTCAAGAACTACAACCCGTGATATTCTGTACATTTCGATTCTTACCAAATAAACGCCTCTCCAGCTTTTCTTCTGATTTCTGACGTTTCAACATTCAGGTGTCGTAGTCGTAAACTGCATTTTGCCTTAATCAGGTAGCGAACTTAACATAAGGTTCAAGTTTTAACTACAACTATGTTTTTTATCTTGATCATTAAGATATATTATTCTCATTTTACTATGTTATATAAGGCAAATGTTAAACTTATACAGAGATCATTTTCCTTATAGTATATTAACTATATTGATTAAGACTTATCAGATAGGTTCAAAATATAAGTGTCTGCTTCTTTGAAGTTACTTAATTTATTCACTGTAGAAATATTTTACTAACATTTTCAATTATCATATTTATCTATTAATCTTCCTTAATTATTAATTTACTTCTTAATCTCCATGGTTACATCATAACTAAATGGACCAGAATTCACAATTCACTTTAATAATAGTTCGGATTATTAATTACACAAAATTTTATGTCTTTTTTGATAATCTGAGTTACAAATTATTAGTTTCAATTATTTGACTAATGATCATTTCCATATTACTGGCTAGCGTTTTTTAGGCGATTTAGTTTTCTACGGGATGGGGTTGCTAAACCCATGCTCAACCCTCCTTCTTTATCTGGGCTTGGGACGGGCAGTAACCCTTGGAGGGTCTCCAGGCGGAGTTATCATTTCAATATACGATTACATAATATTTAACTACAGAACATGTGATGTTTATTTATCATTGGTCAGAATTTAAAAAGCAAAACAAGATGAAAAGAAAAATCTTATTCAACTATTATTGATATGAAATTGAAATAGCTGAGAAGAAATGACATATATCTCTATGGTCAACCTTCTCATGACAATATATAGACGTATAATATAACAGATGTCGGATTTGAGCGCGAAATTCAATTATCTATTTAGATAAACAGAGTTTTAACATTATAGCTGATGTCAATTCGAGATGAAAACCTTAAGTTTAATTCTTAACCTCAATCATCAATTGTAAATTATAATTCTAATTTCACACACACATGTTGATAACCCACATTTAATCCTAATTATTAGGTGGGTACTTTCAAGGTCAGTCTAAGAGTCACTCAAAGATCGTCCATTCATTATGGTCTCACCGATATGTGAATCTCACAAATTAGACAAGTTTACATTAAAACATGTATCTATTTATTACTTTTTTTCCATAACTCTAATCCTTGATTTATTTTACAGAAGGAAAAAGTATATATATATATAACTGTCAAGATGCGGATACATTCAATATCAACATTTGCATTGATTATCATTTGTGTATTCATCACAAATAGTCTATTGGTAAATGGACAAATGGCTGAATATTATATGAATGATGAAATGCCACAAGTGAATACATATGAAAATATGTATCCAAGATATATTCAACGTCATAGATCACAACATTATAAACGAGGTGGAATGTATGGTGGATTATTAGGGAAATAATCAATCAATAATTCATCATTTATCATTAACTAATTATATTTATTTATTTCATCATTTCAAATAAAGAAAAGAAAATTTGTAACCTTTAAATAAATTTTAAAGAAAAAAAATAATGTATTCTCTATGGTATTTGATAGTATTGTAGTGAAGCAGAACATGGGTGGGGACAATCGAATTATCACAATTGATTGATCACTGGGTGGTGATCAATGTTATGCGTATCTAGTCCTTAATTGTTCAGGTCAAATACTATCGATCATGTTGCAATGTGGTCGCTGAGGGCACTATATACTGAGATTAGATGGTGATTGGAGGTAGTCGACAGGAAACCCAGGACCCAGGTTTCGTGCTACTTGGCACTCGTCAGCAAGGTGTACCTGTAATCTTGAGGGACCTGGTGCTCCCTGTCGGATTCGATCTCGTGTCACCCAGCTTCACCACCCAGTGATCAATCAATCGTGATTACATCTCAGTCCTACAGGAGGTCGGTCGCGGCCCGGCTTGCTCAGTGGTACCGTCTCTGACTGCCAAGCTGGGTGACACGAGATCGAGTCCGCCAGGGAGCACCAGTTCCCTCAAGATCACAGGTAAACCTTGCTGACAAGTGCCAAAAAGCACGAACCCGGGTCCAGGGTCTCCTGTCGACTACTTCCAACCACCATCCAACAATCGAATTATATTTAGCAAAAAATTACAGTTACTTGGTAAAATAGAAAAACCTTACTATAATACCTAATTTGCAAAATGTTCAATAATTGTCTCGAACTTCGTCGTTCTTGCATTTCTATACTAATTGCTTTCTATTCACACTCTTCTTTTCTTGATCTTCCCCATCTTCTGCTGCCAGATATTACATTCCTGACTCGCGTCATATACTACACTTATATCAATATAAGTAGCACGCACCACAGTATTTCCAAACTTGTTACTACATTTCAATATGTCTCTAAGGATGTATAGTTTCGACCGTCAATAGAAAAATAATTTATGATGCAATATAGTTTAATGTCAAGTATAAAAGGATATTATTCTAGTAACAAGTTAAATGATTGTTCAGCAAGAGTTTAACTACAGATGTTATTCAATAGGTCATTGTCGTGAAGTCATTTTTAAAATAAGGTTAACAAATATGACACTAATATAATGATTGTTAAACAATTAAACCGACAAAGATGGATAACGACTAGCACTGAAATCTAGGGCATGCGTTTCGTCCTATTTCGTACTCGTCAATTGAATGTACCTACATTTCAGAGTTAATGTTCACTCTGGGGATCGAAGGCTGTACTCTCTGTTATAAACGCCGTCGCTTTATTCACTTAGCTACTGAATCGTGATAACTACTTGTTTGTGCGATAGGGTGAAGTTTAAATTCACTTGATATTGTTTACCTACATTTTCGCATTGATGTTTAGGACCGCAATCGATCAGTCTGTTATTCACATATGTTCATATTGTGCATATTACATCGATAGTACTTTAATTCACAAGCATTATAAGCGTCCTGGATTCAACTGCTAGCCATTACCCATCATTGTTTACAAAGCTTTTGACTTAAGGCAATATCGAGGCAATCTGCACAGGATACACATATGCCAACATGAGGCTGATCAGTTGCAATCCTAAACACCAATAGGAAAATACAAGCAAACAACATCAAGCGAATTTAATGTTATTTCTGGGTTTTTTTATCAGAAAGAAGCATGGAATTTCGTTTATTATGCAATATGTAAAAATAAGTTTAAAGAAAAGAAACAATTACAGTATTCAATCTAAAATGCTAAACACCAATACAACACTTTGCTTTAAATCAATTTGAAGGATTAAACACTTCAGTTGGCATCAAAAGCTGATTTCAGATTAATCCGTTCCGACCTCTCCTGAAGGAAAGCGGAAAAAAGGAAGGCCAAAAAACACATTACGTCGGTAATCGGAAGCAGATATGAAAAGGATGAATAACAACTGGAAGGAGCTAGAAAGGATTGTCCAGGACAGGGTTGGATGGAGAATGCTGGTGAACGGCTTATTCTCCTTCACGAGGAGTAACAGGCGTAAGTAATAAGTAAGTTCAGTTTATCAACAAATACGAACGATTCTAATATAGCCAATAGATGTGATGATCAAATCATATTTTATTATTCAGATTAAACCTGTACATAATAATTAAAGTTTTTTCACAAGCACAGGCGAAATTCAGTGTTATTACTAAATAGAAAACCAAACAAAATAATAGGTGAAAGGGTATGTATGTATGAAACTGTTGTGCACCTAATTCAAATATCTATTTTAATTATGAAAAAGTAAACCTAATCAAAAAATTGTTAGTAACTATATGGTGATTAGAAAACACTATGCTGTAATTCATTTATAAAACATGATTAATAACTAACGAAACGCACGTTTTAGAGTTCCGGAGTGAACATCAACTATGAGATGCAAGCACGTGCAGTTGACGAGTCCCGAATAGAATGAAACCCATGTCCTGGATATCAATGCTAGTCACTATACACTTTTCATTATGATTATTAACCGCTAATATTTCTGAGTAATTTCAAGTTCTTCAATTTAGGCTAAGAGTTTTAGCGTTATATTCATATTCAGTTTGTTTTTCCTTTTTGTTCTTGAAAATTGAATACAATGAAAATGGGATACTGAAATTATTTGATAGGTTTATATTCCCAAATACTGAAAAACTTGACATAGGTGGTGTGTGTGTGATGTAAACTATCAATATTCTTCTTTACACTAAAGGTTAGACTAAACGAGAATTTAGCAGAATATAATGATTATTTGAGTGGATAACATAAAAAAGTGAAATATTAGGTTGTTTCATCTTAGTTTTACGTCTAAAACAAGTCAATATCAGTGATTGGAAGATAAGAACTTTCACAAGTGAAATTTATATATATTGCATAAGGTAGTAGCTATTCGGATCGATTTTAATAGTGGGTATCTCGTTAAATATGTTAAGCTAAATAGTCGGAGTTCAAATCTCAATGTGATCAAAAACATTGATATAAGTACATTCAACTGAAAATTTCATCGTAGAACAAAACAAGCCTTCTAAAGTTAATTGTCAACTACTAGCCAACGTCACTGATTCAGTCATTGTTTAAATGGTTTTGAAACAATAAGCTTTCAGTAGCTGATTTCCAACAGACTAAACTTATGTGTCTTGACATTATTAACCAAACATATGATTTATGTCATATATAGAGAGACATTTTGGAGTACTCATTGAGTTGAAATGGTAAAAAAAACAGTATGACTGGATGGGATTGATTTAAAATTCGAGTTTCATTAACCAGCTAAATTCTGTCTTGCACATAAATGATTTTATGCTAGACAGTTAGTTACAGTTACCTTTTTAAGTATATTCCTAGCCGACTTTTCGTTGTCAAAGTTTTAACCTTTGTAGAAAAATTACAACTCATCAATCGATGTAAGGAGACGTTACTTACATATAACTATTTCTACAACTCTAAATATCATCACAATTGACTCAACAATGAAGTGTAAAATGTTGTGTTATTGGTAAAAGTAAACAAAATACCTAGAATACACTATCAACAATCTTTACAAATACTGGATTTATCCAGTGTCAAATAGATAACTGGACTGAAGAATTCCCTGCACGAAATATACAATGTTGAGGCGAAATCCTCGTTTAGTAAACATTTAAGCTAAGAATATTAGAGAACTGCATATAAAATGTTTTTAAGTAGTAATGAATTGTGATTCATATTTATCTGTATATGTTTAGCACTGGTCATTTTTCCATCACCTCTTGTATTAACAAATATATATACACTGTAAATTTTGATGAATGTCAATGAAAGGAATTGAACAGACATCCAAATAAGTAATTCGAAGACATTAAGTTACATATTCATAATCTCATTTTTCATTCTAACTGTTCTTCGCTACAGGCCTGTTAAAAAGAATAAAAATTTTCACATGTAGATTAAACTCATTCAAAAGGAAACTGTCATTTCAATAAAAACAGTTTTTGTCAAAGAAACTCAAATTAAATCAAATTCATGACTATGTTAATTGGATTGTAATTCATTGTGCAAATACTGAATGATTGTTAAATACAAATGTTAATAATGAACAATCGTGGATTAGTTGAAGCTAGACATTAACACCGTTGGATGCTGGCCACCTCAGTGGTCTAGTGGTTAACTGCTCGCGCGTAGATCCTAGGTTCTAATCTTGCGGGGGGGGGTGAGGTCGTGGATGCGCACTGCTGTGGAGTCCCACAATAGGACGAAACGAACGCTCAGTGCTTCCAGGTTTTCCATGGTGGTCTAGCTTCAACTGGCTCATGATCTTAACCATTGAAAATCTTAGAAAACTTTGAAATCATGTTAATAGTAACATTATTTGATTATTAGTGACTTTATTCAATATTTTGTTTTTGGTACAATATATAATTCTTAGCACAATGTATTTCAACAAGTCTTACTTCGTAGTTGATCCTAATGATAAATATTGACTGATCGCCAGTTAGATAGTAACAGTTCAGTAAATTGACATCGAAATAATGGACATTCTTTTCGCTGGATATTTCCACCAACCACAATATCTCTGATTTGGCCTTAAGTAACTTGTACAACGAAAGGTTGTACACTTTTCAGAAATGCACCCGAATAGGTTATGCAATTAATAGCCATAATGATTTATTAAAACAAACAAAATTAGATAACTTTTATTGAAATATCTAAATGGCAGATACAGATAGCCCATATGTTCATGTAGGCCACCAAGTTGCTCAACATGGAACATTTAATTTTGAATTACAGATATTCCATTCAGATAAAATACATTTTTGACGTTTATTATATTTATGACAACACAAATAATAATAAATTATACTATTATAAAGACCCATAGGTCTCGAGTTCGAATCTCATGAGGTGGGATCATGAGAATGAGCACTGCTCAGGAGTCCCATACTAGGATGAAATGGCCGTCCGGTACTTCTAGGTTTTCCATGATAGTCTAGCTTCAATCAATTTATGAATTCAATTATTGAAATGACTATAATATCCACAAAACCCCTCTCTGATGATCAAGGTATTTCTATTCAGTGAAAATGTGATAC